GGCATGTGCATCTCATCTCTGCAATGAAATGCCATTTCTTTCCCACTGATTTGATCACACTCTCTCTTTAAGCCCTACTTCTTCCTATGTTCTGTGCTTGGCATGGTAATTAGGGACTTCCACCATCAGGGATGGATGCTCCTGGCTATTCCCCGAGCTATGCTTACCCACAGCATAGTTCTTTACATTTCCTGGCAGTGTGTGGCATGTACATTTAAATGGTAGGATTTAGGGAAATCACATGATAGGCAGCACTGTAGAGGAGGGGAATCAGCTGGGGTTGCTAGCTTTTAATTGAAGTTTAGTTGGAGGTTCAATGAGGTGAGACTGTTATGACAGATTTCAATATGTAACAGTAGGAAAATGAGGTGGGTTCATCAAAGTCAGCGTAAATACGGAGCAATGGCTCAGCAACTCAGCATGAAACAACAGCTACAACCCCTCAAAAAATACAGAGTAATTAAAATGTGCATTGTGCAGCCCTCCTTCTCAGTGGGTACCTTTCCAAGGAAAGCAGTTACTTTATTGTGAAAAATATAAACACGAATTTGGAGATGTAAATTACATGCATATTTTAATCTTGTTCATAAACATGGAAAGTTTTCAAAATGTAAATACAATCAAACTAAGCACACAACTGCAGCTGAAACCAGATTTGAGAAAGACTTCAAGAAGGTAAAAGGTCCCCCAGATCCCCCAACCCCAACCCTATCTACCTACCTACCCACCCTTTCTGTATATTTGGAAAAGACAAGATGAAATTCCATCCTCCTACTCCTAAGGACACAAACCCTTATTCCTTATTTTTTAATGTCACAGAAGGGGTAGTAGATTTGACCTTGTCTCGCCACTTCCCCTCTCCTCTCTTCCACCTTTGGTCTACATATGTGGTGTTGGAGATTAGCTAGTGAGAAGCAATGATCAAGCGCTGAGGAATTTGTCACGTGGAAAGGAGAAGGAAATTTACCCCAATACTATCTGCATTCTTTTATTTCCGTACTGTGGGCATGCAAGTTACCTCAACATGAGCCAGCTCTAGATATTGAGCTGAGGGAGGCAGCATGAGATAGTGGAGAACTCACTGAGCTGCTGTTGAAATGCGAGTAGATTCTGCCTCAACTGCACCTTGCTGCCAGATGATTTTTGGACAGAGCGCTTCACTTCTCTGAGGCACAGTGTCTTCATCGGCTAAAGTCATTGACTTGGCCTGAAAGGAGCTCCAGCGTTCTTTCCCATTCAGATTTTCTACAATACCATGCCCCATGGATTTACCCTAATCTAAATGGGGTCCTGGAGATTCAAACCAATGTGGTACCCTTCTTGAGTCCCCAGAACGTTTCTCAGTGTTCTGAAAAGATTCAAGCGGTGCCTCTGCCAAAGACTGTCCATATTGTAATTTAACGCCAGGACTTTCTGAGACTGTTCTTAGAGGTCCCTCATTCTGGCTTTACTTCTACCACCTCCTTAGCTTTACAGATGGTCTTCCTTGTAGGGAATGTCTGTCCAGACCATCCAGGCTTGTGGTTGGAGCTGCCATAAAGAAGACTTAGTGTAAAGATCCTACGTACGTGTCTCCAGTGTTGAGAGAAGTATCTAATAGGGCATCGATCCTGCATTTCTCTCTCACTGCATTTCCTTATCAGAGTAGGACAGTTGAAATTTATAGGGTTATAGGGGAGATAGTTACAAAAGCAACCTGTCATTTATATAAACTACATCAAAAGAAATTAAAGTGTGACATTCAAGGAAGCTTAGCTTTAAGGAATCAAACCCAAAGTTTACTTTGAACAGTCTTTTTAGTATGCTGTTATATCTGGGTGATTCCACCAGGAGAACATGAGGTCCAGTTTTTCTTGATTGTTTTACGGTGAAAAATAAAGCACATTGAGAATTCAGCATTTGCCCTGCCAGCATGTTACACAGTAGGAAATGGCTGGGACTTAGAAGTAGGGTAAGAGATGTGATTAATGCTTGTAGGTTTGACAGTACATTTTCCAATTCAGACCACTCATTCCCACCATGAACGCCAAAGGAAATCCTTCTAAGTCACCATCAAGCCCTGGCCCAACTGAGACTTTCCTATATAACCTTTGTGATGGTCACCTCAGGCTTCCCTAGAAAAGGAGCAGGTTCCAAAAGAGCTCTCTGATCCAGTTTTATTAGAGTGTCAGAATGGCGACATTTCCAGAACAGTCCCAGGGTAAGGAATTGGGGATGGGAGTGAAAGTTTGTGATAAGCGTGTGGTCAACTCAAGCTTTTGTGAAAACGGAAGGATGAGTATAGGAAAGGGTGTGAAGTATTAGTAAAAGCATTGGTGTCATGATATTGAACACTCTTTTTCTTGGCTTACAAGGACAGATAGACATATTCTCTTCATGCACTGCTAGTAACAGTAGCTGTGCCTTGCACATTTTGTTGTTGATTTTTTAATGATCTGACTAGAATGCAGCAAAAAGAGAGCATTCCATTTAAATGAAAATTCACCAAATAAGAGGAAAATAAACTTCACCTAAAAGTTCCCAGACTATTGTTGTCAAAGACCTATATAAAAGAGCTAAAACTGTCTAAAACTCTTGAAAGAAAACAAACATAATGGTAAATTTTCACGGCTTGAATTTAGCAGTGGTTTCTTAGATATGACACTCAAAAGCTTGAACAGCAGAAGAAAAAAAACAGACAAATTGGACTTCATCAAAATTAAAGTTTTGTACACCCAGGAACACTACCAAGAGAGTGAAAAAACAACGGATAGAATGGAAGAAACTATTTGTAAATCATATACCTGCTAAGGGTCTAATATCCAAAATATACAAAAAACCCCTACAATAAAGCAATAAAAACACAACCCAATTAAAACATGGGCAAAATACTTGAACAAACATTTCTCCAAGGAAGATAAACAAATGTTCAATAACACAAGATGCTCAGCATCATTTGTCATTAAGAAAATGCAGGTCAAAACCACAATGAGATACCATTTCATATCCTCTAGGATAGCTATTATAAAGTAGAATAAAATAGCGAAAATGTGGAGAAATTAGAATCCTCATACATTGATGGTGGGAATATGAAATGGTACAGCCACTGTGGAAAATAATTTGACTGTTCCTCCAAAAGTTAAAATAGGCCAGGCACAGTGGCTCACACCTGTAATTCCAGCCCTTTGGGAGGTCGAGGCGAGTGGGTCACCTGAGGTCAGGAGTACAAGACCAGCCTGGCCAACATGGTGAAACCCCATCTCTACTAAAAGTACAAAAATTAGCTGGGCATGATGGCAGGCACCTGATTACAATCCCAACTACTCAGGAGGTGGAGGCAGGAGAATTGCTTGAACCCAGGAGGTGGAGGCTGCAGTGAGCTGAGATCGCGCCATTGCACTCCAGCCTGGGTGACAAGAGTGAAACTCTATCTCAAAAAAAAAAAAGTTAAAGCAGAGATTACTATATGGTAACTCTATGTGACCTTGGGCAAGTCATGTAAACTTTCTGGGCTTCAGGTGGGAGACTTCAGTAAATCCCCTAATTCTGGGTAGGAGAAGGTCTCAATCATGTGTGGGACCCTTTCAAGCCTCACTTATCTTCCTTCACCCTAGTCCTTTACTTCAGTGAAAAATAAAGTGTTTCAAAGGAACTGCTCTACCCTAGGACAAGGAATGAGCTGGCAGACACAGGGCATGGAGAGTGTGATGGCACGGTCACTGGGAGCCTTCTTAATATTTTTAAAGTTCTAATGCGGATTCTGTTGAGCCTCATGCCACTCAGAACTGCAGGAAGTAAACTCCTTCATTTCTTCATACACCTAACACCAGCCAGTAGTTATTGCATATGCCCCATGTTGTGTGGAGCACAGTGCTGGAAGACAGGGAGCCCCCAAATCCAGGGAGCTGATGTTTTAGAGGGACAGGAGATTACTAGGGCCTTCACTATTGAATTGCAGTCGTGGTGAGGGCTCTGAAGAAGTGGAGGCTGCTGTGGGCAAGCACTCCAGAGTCAGGGGTGACCGCTCTGAGGAAGTCGTGAATAAGCTGCTGTCCGAAGGAGGACTTAACTAGGAATTAAGTAGGAAATTAATTCCCAGGAAAGGTGCAGATAGCATTCCTGGCAAGAGAGAACAGTGAGGAGGAAGCGAGAGTAGGCTTGGAGAAGAGCCTCATTCTGGGATGTCACAGCGACATCCTTGTCACTGTCTCAGGTTGTTTAGGTGAATGTCAACCTGAATTGTAGGACCAAGAGAAGTGATCTCCCTGAGACCACAAGTAGACATTTCACCACCATCCACTGCTTCTGTGTCCCCACAAATCCACATCCAGCACTCTTGGCTGGGTAGCCAGCAGGGACCACACAGAATCTCTGGAACTTGAAATGCTCCCCAGAGTCAGCTGTGACCTGAAGCCACTGCACCTCAAAGCGTCTTCACATCCGCCCAGCTCAGGGCAGCGTGAGTGACAGAACAAGTGACTCGAGCATGACGCCCCACAAGCCAGGCCAACGTCCAGAGGCTGTTTCTCTTTTTGGTCTTTCAGTTTACTCCCCATCAAACCAGTAAACCTAGGCTCTGAGGGCAGTGGCACTACCAGACTTCTACTTAAGCCGTAGCAACCACTGTGGTACTCGGTAGGCCCATGGCATGTATTTGGTGGATAAATTGGATCCACTGTTGTAGCAGAGGCCACGGTTTCCACACATTCGTGGAGCCCAAGGTGGGTGGAGCTCATACCCGCTGGTCACATTTTGTATGCTTAAAGTGGGCTGGTTGGAGAGGCCACAGTTGAGCCTCTGGGATGCATGTGTGGTGCTCCAGCTGGGGACAGAGGAGCAGCAGCCACAATGAGACCTGGCTGTCAGGGAAGGGAGCCTGTCCGTCAATCCCAGCAGACATCTCCTCAACCTATAACTCAATTAATATTTTTTTTTGGACACTAATTTGGAAGCTTGTGTGTCTTCTCTGTGATCATCAATCTATGCCATCAGGCTTAATTTTTTTTTTCCTTTGCTTTCAGGAGAGTAGATCTGGAGAAAACAACAGCTGTGTTGAAGAAATAATCCGGGTAAGATTATTCTTTAAACAGTCTTATCAATCTGTGGGACATAGACTCCAAATAAAAAGGAAACCTGTGAATCCATGATAAAGGAGCCCATAGTTTTGTTGTCTGATATTTACCTTTTCTGAGATTAGTCACATAAGTTTTTGAAACAACACTTCTTTTAGTAATCTAGGAGCTGCGCCCCCTCTGGACACCTCTGTACAGACTGAAGTGACACCCTATTAAAGTAATCAGCTGGAAGACATTAGAACAGAATTTAGATGAAAAATATGCTGGTGCTCACATTTAGATGCCCCATTTATCACCCTGCTATTTAAAAGCATCCTTTAATAGTCTGCACTTTTTTTGAGTCAGGCAAGGGTTGCCTGGTTATTTTTCCTGTAAACTTAATTGGAATCAGAAGCACTTAACAAAGAGGTAATGCTCAGGATCTGGAACTGCGTTTCCCTATTGTTTCACATGGTATTTTCGCTGTCACCCTCTGTGTTTACTGTGGGTTCCCTCCCTGAACCAGTTTCGTGCCCAGAATGACTTAGATCTGCACAACTGAGCTGTTGTGCAGCTCAGTGTTTTCTCAAATATTCAGATATATGATCAGGATTTCGTCATCAACCCATATTTTTTTCTTCACTCATATGTTTTCAGGGGAGTTACCTAATGATTTACAGTTCTCAAAAAGCTGATACTACACTGGGCAAAACACCAACACAAATTAGGCCAGATGGTACAGAATTTCACTGTAAAAAAAAAATTAATACGGTCTTTTCTTTTGGACATCCTACACACTTTTTTTTAATTGCTAGTAAACTACAGTAATATAATTACGTGGGTTAAAATTTTACGTTAACTATTTTAAAAAGCCTGATGTTTTTCTTTCTGGAAAGCATGATTTCATAAATAAATCTAAGTCTCAAGTTGAACCAGAATAACTAATTGAGGTGAGATTTGTTGAATTCGTAATGATTTTTTTTTTCTGGCAGAGATTTATAGAGAAAACAATTGTCAAAACAGACAGCTTCATTTCTGGCATTTAAGTATATGTTAAATAAAATACATAGTTACTTTGTATCTATATTGTCTCTCTTCCGGGGCTTTGTTTCCGAACAGTCAACGTGAGATGCTGATATAACTTTTCCTGTTTTTCTCGTTTTTCTCTTTCAACATACTTTCATGTTTGGAGTTCACATATTCCTTTTTTTTTTTCTTTTTGAGACGGAGTCTTGCTCTGTTGCCAGGCTGGAGTGCAGTGGCATAATCTCAGCTTACTGCAACCTCTGACTCCCTAGGTTGAAGTGATTCTTCTGCCCCAGCCTCCTGAGAAGCTGGGATTACAGGAACATGCCACCACGCCCAGCTAATTTTTATATATTTTTAGTAGAGACAGAGTTTCACCATGTTGGCCAGGATGGTCTTGATCTCCTGACCTTGTGATCTGCCTGCCTCGGCCTCCCAAAGTGCTGGGATTACAGGCATGAGCCACCATGCCTGACCCACCTATTACATTTTTAAGCCATCTTCCTTTAATTGGTTGTGGTGTTTATGTCTGCAAAAGGATAGTACCAAAACACACCAGTCCCCTCTTTGGTTTCCCAAAGTAGAAAAATTCTAACTTCTTATTCTCTCTTGGTCCTTCTGAGAATATGGAAGAAATCCATCCTTTGACCTTCCTATTCTATTCTCCAAACAGGGCTTGAAATTTGAATAAAGACTTGAGTAATTCACATACCGAAAGGATAGAGTTTTGGTAAAGCAAAATTCCATTCGAATAAAACTGAGTGCCACAATCAAGAGCTCGTACAGCTTTATAATTACTGTTTTCTAAAGAGAACTGATGAGAACCTCATGCCCCCTCGATGCAGTCCTTCCTTTCCTCCCATCACCAGTGCTGCCGCTGTGCCACGACCCTCTTCAGATGAGGCCTGAAACAGAAGGGGAACATGGACCCACCAGATCACTAATGTGTGTCCCTATGCAAGGCTGAAGTCTGCACGTGTGTGCAAGAGTGCAGTAAAGATGGTGGTTGGATTAGGAGGCAGCCGAGCTCCGAATTCTACTCTTCCTAACCCCATGAACAGCAGTCCGGAGGGGAGGTGGGATTGATGAGGAGGAAACAGACATGATGGTGGCACCAGTAGCACCCAGTTGAGCTGGAGCCTTTACTCTCTCTTTCCACTTGTCAGGCAAAGTGTGAGTCATAGTAGTTGGTATTTGGGAGCTCCTAGGGGATCATGTTAGTATTCCCAGTGTTTCCTGACATCAGTCATTCTCCAAAATCACCTACCCCTCTTACCCTCCAAACACAAGCACAGGACTCCTTCTCAGTTACCGCCCATGGTATATGTAGTGTATCTGTCACACACCAGCCTTCCTCTGAGACTGTGACCTCAAGGGCAGAGAAAGCCAGAGTGGTTGATGAGTAGATAAAGCTAAGCAAGAGAGGCAAAAGGAGCCAGGTCATAGATCCTATAAGACGCAGATCAGCTGAGCATTTGAGCAGAGTGGTGTGATCACATTAGCAGTTTAAATGCCCCACTCTGGCTGCTGTGGACAGGGGATCCACTGGGAAAAGGAGAAGCAAGAGGGAGTGGAAGGCTCTTGGGGGAATCCAGATGAGAGATGCTTGGTGGCGTGCTTACGGCCATGGGAAACATTAGGGGAGATCCTAGTTTGCAAGGAGGGAGGAAATCATAATTTCATTTTTAGACGTGGTGAGTTTGATGTGCCTTTGGAACATTCAACTAAACATAGAGAACATAGAATAACGTATTGAAGGTCAGGAAGTCAGAGCAGAGTTCTGAGGTGTTAGACCAACATTTTGGATTAATTAGTATGTCATTGGTAATAACATCATAGAAATAGGTAAATTTTTCTGGAGAGAGACCAACGAACAGGGAAAATCTGAATTGTGACTTTTAGAGACTCAGGGAAGGAAGAGTCGCTGGGAAATGGAAGTGAGAGAGAGTGACCAGAAAAGTGGAGGGAAAATTATGACAGTGAAAAGTCATGGAATCCAAGGAATGAGATTCAAGCTCAGTGATGTTGAGAGTTTCTGAGAGGACAAGAAAGATGAGGATCTAAAACCACCCAATGGATCAGGCCACAGAAACGTTGCTGGGGACTTTTGTGAGTGCTGTTTCCATGGAGTGGAGGGGGCAGAAGCCAAACTAGAGAAAGCAGAAAATGTAGTCAATGAGTTTAGAGACTTCTTGGGAGGAAAGGTTATCACTTCCCTTTCCAATTGCAATACATCCCACATACAATAGCAACCACCCAGTGATGAAGAGCTAAGTTTACTGAGCATTCATTGTGTTTTCGGCACAGTTCTAAGCTGTGATTTAACCATGGCAGCTGCCTCGGGAGATAGGCATTGGTAACATTCCCATTTTACAGATGAGGAAATGGGTGAGGAGAAGTTCAATACAATTTGCCCAAGGTCACACACCTAGCAAGTAGTAGAACTGGGATTCTAATGAAGACACCTTACAGGGTAACCTGTCTCTTAACTACTATGCTGACTTACTAGATGAAGAAGTCCCCCTGGCTTATTAATGAAACTACTCAGGCAATTTGTTGTGAATGGGAGTTTTCCCATTTCTACCTGTTTATGATTCGCAAGTGCCAGATCATGCATTTATGCAGTTAAATTTAGAGGTTTTATAGCCTGTGTTATCAACCTCATCTTGAGCTGCTGCTTCTCTCCTCCTCATTTTTGCTGAGGTGACTGTTTTCAAGTCATTTGAATATTACATTGTGTTCTAACATATAATTACTTTTTATTCTTACTCAGAGAGTTTTAATCCTGGGACCCAATAAATCTGTGTGTTATTGCAAAATTCTCTTCACTGAGGGAGAAATTAGAAAAGAGTTCTGTGAGGATAGGTGGTCAGGGCTAGAAGCCTTCATGGCTGACATATGTTTCTAACAGGCAGTTTTCTAAGTTACACTCTATTTCATCCTTAAAGGTTCCAGTGCTGTAATACTTAGGTGCTTTTCATAGCATTATCCATTAACATAGAATGGCATTAACATTTGTTCAGCAAATAAAATTCGTTTACTACTTAACGGGTGGGGGTGCAGGGCTGGAATCTGGGATGTACAGGTTTTGTGCAAGACAGCTTTAGATGGCATTTGTTGAAGGCACTCATAGCATAGAGTGCCTTTGTAATAAGAGACCAGTGTTTGTTTGAGATTCCGGTTTGGACTTAAGGAATTAATTTAGAGACAATTTCAGTGCAACATCTGAGCAGATTACTTTCTTGGCTTTCATCATCTTTAGCCACTAATTTCAGTGTGCTGTAAAATATTCTTAGTGAACATTTACATAGAGTTGCATTTCTGTTTATCTGAAGGGGGTTAGTGGTGCTTGTTTAAATCTTGGAGACCTCAGCTAGTTTCCTGACGTTATAGTGGAACAAACTTCAGGCAAATAAAGGGAACTCATTTTTTCCTTGGTTTCCCAGAAACTCAGGAGTAGCCTGGATGAGATGGTTTCCAGTTGTTGTCTTGGGAGATTTGTGAGTTGAGGGCACTGATCTGGGAAATGCACATTAACATGACCCCTCGCATGTGCAGACCTCGGATGGGGGGACAAGAGAAGCCTTGTGCTCAAAAATATCAATCAAATGAAAACATACTCGCCATTCTATGCCTGCCGGAAGGTAGACAACAAAGAGATGACTTGTTTTCAGTGACCTATTTGGGTCATTTGCAGAGCCGGACCTGGGTCAAATCTTCCCTGCTTCAGAGCAGGCAGGCTTTTTTTCTAGCTCATACTGTTTCCTTTATAAGTTATTTCATTTGTTTCCAACAGCAAAGATTTCATTAGTGATGAAATGAAGCCCACTAATGGCAAAATCAATCCAGGTGTAACTGTAGAGGTGCCCCATTAATACATCCCATTACTTCCATTACTTGCTGTAGTAAAATAAACTCAAAACAAAAGTCAGCCTGATGGAGGTCTAGAGAAATTCACTGAGCACAACTTTAAATAAGACTAGCCAAGA